ATGCAAATTCCTGAAATCCTCCTGCAGTATTCCGAATACATGAAACCCCTAGACAGACTTTCTTACTCTAAACAAATAATGAGCTCAAATTTTTTTTTATTGTAAAATTTAATTTTTAAAAGAAAACTCTATTACATGTAACATTGGTATTCTGTTTTCAGCTGTATGATCACTTGAATAATGTTTTTATTAAACACCTAAATATAAGGAATTACACATACGTCTTAGAATAAAATTTTATTAATGTTTAAATATTTATAAACAATTCATGCTCCATGTAGCATTATTATTCTTAAAAATAATTTTAAAAAAAGCTCCGAGTATTTGATGTTTGCTATATAATTGATGTGTCAACTGCTTTAGCCTAAAATATTTCGTATGTGTACTGAATTTAAATATCTTTCAGTGACGTTTGGAATGATGAGTCCAGCCATGTACTTCCAAACTAAAGTGATGAGCGAATTGTTCCTTGACTCTTCATTTGCAGATAATTCAGGAAGCATGAGAGAAGCAACGCAAATGACTGACTTTTGGAAGGTAAGCACATGTTCTAATAGCAGTCGCATGTGCAATTTGACGTTGGGCTAGTGGTCAAGATTTTCTTGCTGAATCGTCGAAAACAACAGCTGTAAGAAACTACTGAATAATTAAATGAGGCTAGACAGTGGCTCACACGAGATGTGGGAGGTCCCCGGGTTCGGACCCCCCAAAGCCCTTGATTTTTTTTTCTCCATTGACTATAATTCTATGTATATGGTACATAACATTTAATAAAGTATTTGTTAATGATAATAAATTTTATAAATAAATGCTAATTATTCATTTAGTAATTAATTTTTTACTGCTTTTTGTTCCCGAAAATTGACAAAATCAAAAGAATATGTTGGGTGGCGTATTGGAGTATGATACAAGAATAGCGGACTTTCAGCCCTACCCCCCTTGAAAAATTCCTGTGTGCACTACTGAGGCTAGATGCTGTTTTATCAGCTTGTATTTGACGTATCAAAAAATCAGGGCCGCTTTTCCGGTTAGGAAATCCCTTCAAAAAATTGAAGGGCGGAAAAAGAAAAAAAAAAATTAAAATTACAACATACATACCCCACCACCTAGCGAGTCATGAGATAAGCATTTCTATTCTTAAGAGGATGAAGACTGAACTGAAATGAGATTTACTATGGCAAATGAAAAGCTTAACATTTTGATGTTACTATGCCCTCAAAAAGATATTACAGTGGAAATTGATTACAATGATGTTATTAATAATTTTACAATGATCAAAGCTCGAAGAAAACTTATGGTGTAGAATTACAAAAACTCTTCAAAAAATACGAATGTCTATAAGTAAAAGATAGTAAGGCGATAAGCGGTGAAAAGATGATAATGAACTAGTTGAAAAAAAGAAGTTCATAAAATAATGTATACTCTATACTGTAACTGCAAATGATTTCATTAATTTGCATTAATTTACAAAAGGGTGGGTGTCCGTGATGCCGTAAGGTAACAAAAAAGTGACCAAACCGCGCCACTATCCTCTCCTTACGGCTGACGGTTGCCAGTACAGGAGACGGAGGGTCCATAGATGGTGGATAATCGAAATACTCTCCTAAGAGCAGAAACAAAGAAAGAGTAAGAGAGTATTAAGGGAAAATCTTTCCCGAACTAAAGATGGCATGGTAAGAACTGTAGGAGGAGTTGCTCTGGAAATAGTGAGGGACCGTTACAATTTGAAGTACCTAGGGGCTAGGGAGGTTTAGAAAGGCCCTGCCAAAAATGGTTTGCACTTTTTATTGCTTCCATGATGGAGTTGTCATTCCAGACTTTCATCCCCCAGATTATATTCATTATTTTTGGAATTTATGTCGCAAACTTTTGATTCTTAACCTTTTTTCAAGCCGGGACCCTACGTATATTCCAATATAACCTCGTGTCCCTTGTAAAATATGAGATTTTTTGTTGAAATATTATTAATTATATATATATATAAGTGTGTGAAACTAAGAGTGTGAAAAATAAGACTGCAAAAATTGGAATTAGAAATTTTTGCTTGTTCATGTGAACATTTCTTGGTCCTAACTCTGCAGTGGATTCTTTTTAAACACATCGTAAATGATTCGGCATAATCACATTGGGAAAGTCTTCATATAGACTCGTCCTTTTCTCATACCACATCTTGTTATTTCCAATTTTCATTGAAATACAGCATTACTTGAAAACATCTTTGATTGTAACTTAATTTTTTCGTTTTAAAATCGCTTTATCTCGCCCTCTTAGAAATTTTTTCTTGCATTTTAAGAATTCTTTTTTCAGAAGAGTTCAGCCCAGAGGCGGTGAACCACAAATCCTTTAAATCATAGTTTAAAATTCTATGAATTAGTTCTTAAAATCACTAACATTCTTTCGTTTTTTACTGTTTTACAGTTTGCCAAAGATGTTTTGATTGAGAATCTGTATTGGGAGAACTGGTACAACGACCAAGAAACAAACAACGACGACAGAAATATATTATACGAAAATCGACTTTTAGGTTCGCCCAGAATCAGACAGTTGAGGGTTCGGAATGACTCATGCAATGTGCATTCCGACTTCAAAAAAGCCATTACGCAGTGCTACGACGTATATAACCCTCATATAGAAGATACAGAGCCATTTGGACTTATGAATGGAACTGCGTAAGTATGATCCTAGAATGAGAAAAATTTGTTTTATATTTTATAAAAAAGTCCAAAGTATTTAATGTATATTTAAATTGCATTATTATCTGAATAATTCACTTCAAATTCGGAACAATTGACTTTTTTTGTCGTATATTTCACTGAAAGTATTGTATATAAAAAGTATTTTTCCAAGTTCATGAATTCGGAGAATATGTAAACGACTGGAAAGGGGGACGCATATGAACAAAAAAGCAAACAACCGGGCAAGAATGGCACAGTTTTCTCTAAAAACATTTAGATGACGGTTTTGCTACTAGAGATAGACTCAAAAATTTATTTACATGGAAAAAAAATGAAGTAATTCTGAAATACTTTCTAGTAATAGAAAGAAAAAATTTTATATCTTTCCATAAATTTGTTTTCGAATACTAGTGTATAATAAAGGTCATTTTTATTAGAAAGCTACGACAATTTTTTTTCTATTGCAGATCAAGCTGTAATGTACTGAAAGAATATATATATAATAAAAATTCTACGATATAAGCAGCTCTGAAGACTGGTATTGTTCTTTAAAATATCGGTACTCACGTATTGTCGCAACCTAATGATGATATTATATGAAACGATACACATGGTTGCCAATTCAGCGCATACGATACATATGAAATCGGGGTTGCGAGCTTGGCGAATTATTAATAGAGTTCGCATTTGTTGCGATAATACGTAAGTACCAAATTATCTTACATGAGCAATTTCCAATATATCAATAACATTGTTTTCTTATACATTAGGAATGATATTTTGTCATGTCTGTAATTTTAAAAAAAATTGAAAATTTGAAGGAGTCTTTTATTACATACATGACAGACATTCCAGAATTCTTTTAATTACAGTTACAGAAGTTTTAATTTGAAGATGACTTATTCTGTGTCACATGAACTGGAAGTTTTTCGATTATAATTCTGACTCAATGGAGAGGACTTCAAATCAATTACTATTTTTTGTTTTGTTCGAATTTTTCTTTTAACTTAGATATAGATATATTTGACTTTTTACAAATTTGCAACACAACGAAAAACTTTAATGCCCCTAAGACCATGATCGAAACTGCAATTTAGAAATATCGTGCCTTGAAGGCAGAATTTTAATAATCATTAAAGATATCAAAGATCAAGACTAAGGATGTTTATCCCCCCCCCCCTGTTCTAGGTCTCCCTCAAGTGGAGACCTAGAAGTCCGCTTCTGTACTAGTTCCGCGTCATTTGAAGTACTCATGAAATGTAATTGGAGTAAAATATGTAATTATGCGAGTATTATTAATGTGTGTACGTGTAAATTGAATTTGTTTATTGGAAAATAGTTGATTCGATATCTTGTGTAAAAAAATTCGAAGTTCATGACAAGGAAATGTTTGTAATCCATTATTTTATCAAATAAAAGACATTTTAGAGTTTACGTAATATTTCACTCGATTTTTTGTGACTAAGAATTTTTCATGTCCCTATTATGGAGCTAAAAGAGAGAATCACTTTAAAATATTTTCGAAGTTCCAAAAGGAGAAAATCTAGAGTTTTAAGCAATTAATTTAAATTCTTAAAAACCTCTTTAAAAAAGAAGGATATAGATTCGATATATTCTTTGCTTTTAACAGTCGTCATGAAACTTAACATTTTGTCCCTCACGATTTTGACCTCTCAAAATGCTCTTTGTTTTTCATGAATAAATTTCGAAAATTACTTCATTGAATTTCAAGTAGGATAGAAAATGCGTCTTATCTTGTAACTACATGCTAAACTGTTCAATTACAAAAGAAAGAAAAAGGGGGGGGGGACTTACCGTTGTCCTTTATCTTCGTACACTTTTGAATGTGAAGAATCATTTTGTAATTTTAAAAAAGATTTCATAATTTTATCATGGAACCGTCTCGATTTTGATACTCGTATAACGAAATGATGAAATACCTTACTGATATTGCGAATATAATTGGCTTTAACAACTAATTCCTTTGAATTATTGTTAAGCGTTATCGTTAAAAGATTGCTCCTTCAAACCGTTAAGGGCTGTTTCATAAACTTCTTTTAATAATATAGAAAACAAGTAATATCAAAGAAAATTTTATTTTAGCTACTTTTTATTAAATAGTTACAATTAGTATAAATATGTATAAACATATGGCAGAATGACAATATTAAGTGACAGAGAGCGATTTTCCTTACAATTTTCCATTTTCCTCTCTATATATGGGGCTGAACTATTTTTTGTTTGTTACTTTTATTCATTAATAAAATTTAATTATTCTAATAAAATAGTATAGTAAAAAAGAAACCACGTTCTCAGAAATTAGGCCATACCAGGTGGGATTCGCACCCACAACCTTTGGATTAGAAGTCCAACGAGCTATCAATTGCACTACAAGGACTCAACGAACACTTTTCTTTTCTATATACGTTGTTGGACTATTATGTTTGTTTGTTACTATTTATTTATTTTTTAATTTAATTAATGAATTAATATTTGAAAAACTTTATAACATCAAGTGGCATCCACCACAAGTTTAAAAAAATATATTTGAACTTGAATGTGTGTGCGGATGAATAGAAAGTATTTTGCAAACGATTGAAAATTTGTGAATAAGATATATATATATATGTCTTGTTCAAAGTTTCAATCGTTTGCAATATATATCTATACAAATAAATAAAATTGAAGTGTCTGTTTGTAATTTCAAATTAGCAGCTTTTTACTTAATGCACTAAAAGTATATACGGTACTCATAACAAAAAACCAATTTTTAAAATTTTTGTCTGTCTGTCTGTCGGTCTGTCTATCTGTCTGTCTGTCTGTCTGTCTGTCTGTTTGTTCCGGCTAATCTCGGAAACGGCTGGTGCGATTTTAAAAATTCTTTCACTAATGGAAAGCTACATTAACGGGGAGTGACATAGGCTATATTTTATTCCCGTATTCTTACGGGAACGGAAACTATACGGGTGAACGTGAAACTGAATGCCAAGATGAACGCCAAATTGAACGCCAAGCTGAGCTAATGAAGTCGTTGTTTTGGTAACTGGCGACCGATGCTCTTCATGAGACATAATAAATTTACGCGCACATGATAATACGCTGACACGTGCCATAATTTTTTTTTATGATAAATATCTCACTGTTCAGTTAAGTAGAGCATCGGCTGTTTCGGATGCACTTTTAAAAATAATAAATCAAGGCTCCATAAGCAAAAAGCAATGCAAGAAACAAAAAATTGATAAGTTTTACGGTTAGTTTTAATCCTTTCTTTTTTTTATTTACATTTTTAGTCACATTTAAACAATAGTTATTATAATCCCAATCTATATCTATACAAATAAATAAAATTGAAGTGTCTGTTTGTAATTTCAAATTAGCAGCAATTGTTTGCGGGGGCGGGGGTTTAAGGGGCGTTAGAAATTCCGATTTTTAAGTTATTAGACGTACAGTCTTGAAACTTAGTAAGTACATTCCTCTCATAGGGTAAAGATACGCTACAAAATGGGTTTCGTGAAAATTGCCCTCAAGTGGCGTTGCGGGACTTAAGGGGCGTTATAGATAACTAACTGTTACCCGCCCGCTTCGCTGGGAATTTCATGATATTTTATAAATTTTTACTGCTTATATATATGTATAAATTATTGATATCTAAGTCCTGCATTAAGAATTCGATTGTATTGAAAAATATACTTATACCTGTAACTGTCGCCTGTTGATAAAAAAAAGGGGCAGAACTCATCTAATTTGTGTTTTCTAAAAATCTCTAAAATTGATATATAGAATGATGTTCGCTCTTTCGTAACCCAAAAACCAAGTGGATTCCCGCAAAACCAATTTTCGGTAGATCTCTACTCCGTAAATTGAACATGCAAGCCAAATTTCAAGTCTAAATCTAACAGAAAAAAAAACCAGTTTTACTATCAATATCCCCGTAATCCCGTTGAGAGCCGTTTTCCAAAATAACCGCTCTTAGCGGATTTCAACTCAACAAAAGAAAAATGCAAACCAAATTTCATTATTATAGTCCTTGTAGCTCGAAAAAAGTAATTTTTTTTGTCAATACGTCCCAGTAATCCCCTGCACCCCCCCCCCCCAGAACTTGATTTGCTTAAAATACATTCTTAGTGGATCCCTATTCAACAAAAGAAACATGCTTAACAAATTTCAAGTATATGGGTCTAACAATTAAAAACAGGAATTTTTTTCTGTAACTCCTCTTGACCCCTCGCAACCCTCCTTGGGGGTCAATTTTCGTTTTACTCTTTGTTAGAGGAACTCTATTCCATGAAAGGAACATGCCTACCAATTTTCAAGCAGGATGATCAAATAGTTTAAAATGGAAATATTTATCGATTACGCCTCTTAATCTCCCGAAATTAACTTAATTCATATTCGCGAAACCCATTTTGTAGCGGTTCTCTACTTTACGAAAGGAAACTGCTTATCAAATGGTCAAGACTGTACGTCTAATAGTTTAAAAATGGGGATAATTATCTATAACGCCACTTGAGCCCCCGCAACGCCACATTAAAGAAACTCACAATTAAGAAATTAAGAACAATTTGAATTAAGAAAAACAGAGAGGTAGAAAAATGAAAGAGATACCTTGAAAAATATTATTCTTCGATTACAATATAAATATTAAGCAAATAATAACTATTGTTTAAATGTGACTAAAAATGTAAATAAAAAAAAAGAAAGGATTAAAACTAACCGTAAAACTTATCAATTTTTTGTTTCTTGCATTGATTTT